CATCCTTGGTACTGGGAAGTAATCAGCAACCAAAATATAGCATTTTAGAATTTTATAATTTAGATAATTTTCACTCTTCTTGAATACATGTATCCTTGTGAATTTCTTCTTAAAAACGATCCAGTCTTAATGCAGATAGCTGGATGGGCAGACACTTACATAGGGCTGGACACTTTAACTGGATTGTTTGTCGGTAACTGTTTCACACAGAAAATCAGCAGTATCTAAGCTTTGGGGATTCCTGCTTTATAAACACGGTAGTGAATCAATTCGTTATGAAGCCACCGAACAGCTCATTTAACGTCGTGCTCTGCCACTTGTGCTGGCTCAGGTGCAACGCGCTCGAGCACAAGGCAGGCTCCGGCCCTGTGAGGATGAAGATATCTCCTATTTGTTTAGTCTATGTGGAACATCTGGTACGTTTTATTTTCATGATTTTATAGCAAATGCATTACCAAAGTAAGCACAGATAATCCATATGCCAGAGGGACAACCGCTACAGGAACCTTCACTTACAAAATCAGGAAATGTGAATTTTCAGGTTTCATTTACTTTTCCCCAAGAGAGATGGTAAGAGATAGAAAATGCCTATTTGTGGAAGCAGAAATCTTCCATAAAAATAATAAAATTCCATCTTCTATTTCAAAGATATGTGATCCATATAGCTTCGGAATTGAGGAAAAGTAGAACAAGCTGAAAATTTCTGTTTATTAACATCGCAGGCATATGAACAGGTGATTTCTGGTGACTTAAAGACTTTAATAAAAAAAAAAAACGTAAGAACAGGATTTTCTTTTTCTTTTTTTGAATCAGAAATTGAACTCAGGACCTCACACTTGCCTGGTAGGCGCCCTGATACTGAGCTGTAACCCTGATCCAACAACATGAGTTTCAAACCTGGTGTGTGTGTGTGTGTGTGTGTGTGTGTGTGTGTGTGTGTGTGTGGTATTGGTGATCAAACTTGGGACCTTCCGTGTGCCAGTCAGGTGCTTATGGCCCTGAGCTGTCTCCCTGGCCATCACACCTGGTCTTGGTTGTGTTGTGTGCCTCCCACCCATTAGTGGGCAGAACTGGATTTCTTGCCTGGACTCTCTTCAGAAGACTGCAATTTCTGATCGACTACTGTAAAGCCATAAAGTTGTTTCCCAGGGGTTCAGAAAATCCGGGGTGATAATACTGAAAGGATTTGATTCCAGATCGCACTCCCTCACATCATTCGGACAGGAGAGTGGGTCTCACAGCTGCTCTTGATCTGAGTTTGCTTTCTTTCAGAAAGAATCATTTCCTGCTTCCACAGATCATGCCGCTCCATCAACCCAGTGCTTCCTTAAGCTACAGCCCCTGCCTGGGCTTGGGTCCACCCCGCAGTGCAGAGTGGAGAGTAAGCCTTTGTTAAGTTGTACCTCGCAGCCCGCGCAGGTTCCCCTACTTGCACCACCCAGGGTTAGGTTCGGGATGGGCAGTCCTCCCGGGGTCCTCCCCTCCCGTGGGTCTACCTCTCACCCAGGGCTCTTCTGAGCTGTCCGAGTTGTGGCTCTGTGAGGGGATCCTTACCAGATTGCTCATCTTGGGAACCTTCACTGAGCAGAACATAAAATAGTGGTGCATTTCACATTCAGTGTCACCTTTGCCTTGATGGAACTTGGTAATTTATTAAATTGCAGACTTTTTAAAAAAGTAGACTTCAGCACATTCATCAAAACTCAAGGCTCCTCTTTGAGCTAAATGCTCAGATTTCTACTTGGAAGAGGCTGTGGTGCAGATCATCATAGCCCTGCTCCAAAGCACTAGATTTATAGCTCTTTAGACCATAGAGGCAGCAGTGCCAGATATATTTTATAAAATTTGGGACTGATTTTGATGCCAACCAAGACATAAATTGAGATGGGATGGCTGTGGAGATCATTTAGAAGATTGAATTCTGTGGACATTTCCCTGCGAGACGCTAAAATGGAAATGCATGCACGCAGAACAGCCAAGAAAACTATTAGGAAGTGAAATTCACGGATGCCATTAAGCCAGAAGATAGGACATAAAATATTTCAAGATCCAGAAATCTAAGATGAATGTTATGACTTTTTATAAAAATATTGGTACTTATGGTGTAGCTTTTTCCTTTCTGGATACGTAAATCTTAGTATTGCTCATTTTGGTTTATCAGGCAGGGGAAATGGGAGGTAGTTGAGAGGCAAATCGACTTGGCCAGTCATTCTCCTGAATACTGAGTTGGACAAGCTCCAGTTTTGAGTACAACATTATTTTAGGGCAGGAGAAGGGCTGGAAACAACCCAAAATTGCTCCCTAGCACTCTGTATGAGGTGTTACTGGGAATGTGGGGTCCGCTGGTGCACATGCATTCTGGCGCCTGACACCAAGAGCCTTCTGGGTGAATGGTCCCTGCTGCCGGAGCAGAGTGGAGCTGGGCATGTCAGGGCCACCAGGCCAAGTCACCACTGGGCTTGCTTTGCAGGCGAGGGAACTGCGTACTCGGGGTATTCTGGGGTTTCATCTCTAGTGTAGTTTCTTTCACCTCAATTTAGAGTTATTTTGTGGTTAGCCTCCGTATTAGAACCTCAGGATATGTAACATACAAAGTGTTACCACGTATGTTTACCGTGACAGCTGGAAAGGATCATGCTGACACGTGTCATGCGGCTCACGTTGCTTCCCAGCTTTCCGTGAAAACATCCCCCGTCTTTATGTGTTTCCACATGAGCACACACTTTAGTAACTGTGAGAAGTGACATTCACAAAAAGAAATACATGATTTACCAGGCTAGGCTCTGGATTATGGCCCTTTTGACTTCCACCTTCTGCCATCGGCTGTTCCAAGATAGAACACTGAGTCCTGTGGTAAGGCTGGGCTGCCAACTGGCAAGCATCACTCGGCTTCCAAACCCTTGACGTTGACTGCAGTCCGTGGTGTGTGTGTCGTGTGTGGTCAGTTAGCCACAGAAGCCACGAGGCACAGGGAAGCCTTCCTAGGGAGCGTGCCTTGTTGCCGCCCAGCTGCTGGGCAGTTGTGTCCCCCTTTCCTCCCCTGTGTGAGCAGTAGGGCTGTTCATACACACATGCACGCACATGCACACACAGATCCAGTAACAGTAGATCACACCAGTTTCTTTATGTTACAAGGTATGTGTTCTGATCTAAGAATCAGGAGAAAATTTGGTTTGTTTCTTTACTACCTGAGACTAAGCGATTCTGTATTCCTAATTCTCGATGATATTTCTCACTCTAATCCATCAAAACACATCTATAATCTGCAGCACTCTCAGCCCTACTCACTGGCTGATCAGCAAAGCTCACTTTTTTCAGCACTGGGGTTTGAACCGAGGGCCTCACATGTGCTAGTCAAGGGTTCTACCACAGACTTATTTCCAGAACTTTCTTTGATCAATTTCTTCATAGACACTTATAACTGCAGTAGGACTACTATTTTGGAATACTGATTGCATCTATAAAGGAATTACATTGCTAAAAAATGGATGCATCAGTAAGATTATATAATCCCTAACAATTCCCAAGCATAACCCAGAGCTCCACATACAATGCTGTGTAAGTTATTAGTTAACTGATTAGTTCAAAAGATGTTTCTAAAAAGAGATTTCATTTCACAATGTTATTAATATGATAATAATATGTAATTAACACATTTTTCAAAAAATAAGCGTATCTTCTATGTAGTTGAGATATCTGCTGGAAAACAAGAGCAGCAGCAAACTGTCTTGCAGCTGAGGTCTTTCCTTGCTTCATTCAGAGCTATTTATTGGATACCTACACTCTTCGCGATGTCACATCTGATGGAGCTCTGGAAACACAACATCCCCAAAACCACTAAGTTCCTATCAATGTGAAGATTACAGTCTGATTGGAAGTGAATTTTAACTGCATCCTTCTGCATTTGTACTGCCTACTGCTGCCCTAACTCTCCCAATCTAAGCAAATGGCTTCTTTGACGTGATGAATTAACACTTCACAGTCCTTCAGTGGGATGGGGCTGGTCACAAGTCAGTAGCGCCACAGGACATAGGTGGGACACGGACGTCTGAGGGACAGCCATATTTCAGGAGGCTGTATCAGAGGGCACCGTACCCCTGTGGGGGACCAACAGCCTCCCCAGGGGTAACCTCCTCTCATTTAGAAAGGGGACAGTGACCGACAGAAGATCCGTGTAGGGAATGTTCTGCCAGCAAATGCATTCTGAGACATTGGCCTCACTCATGGGTCCCGTGTCCTGCTGTGGTCTGTCTCCACCATTAGGTCTCAGCACAGCCCACACCCCTGGGCAGTGTGACAGGAGGAGCTGTGTCACAGAAGTCACTAGATCGCACTGCAGGCTGGGCCTACGGGATTCTAACCACATGAATGAAAAAGTTAGCGGTAGGGTAGGTGGAGTAAGAGCCGACAGGACAATTCTGTTAGTCACACTGGGCTTTCAGGCGTTCCTAATGGAGACTTGCTGGTTAGCTGGGCCTGTAACGAGCTTGTCCAGCAGAGGGTAGCGCAGCTTCACTGTTGCTTTCAAAAACGGCTGAAGTGTGCAGAGCGGGCTATCAGTGCAATTTTCTGCATTTTAAATAAAGATGAACTGAAGTTCCAGCATTAAGTAAATAACCCGGAATGAAATGGATTTCAGCCTTTTCTAGGAGGCATACAGCGAGCTCCGTCACACACCTGACCAGTGCTATAGACGAAGATGCCGGGAGCCCCCCACGGCCCTGGAGAGGCGTGCCTGACCTCATGAGCAGGCCGCCTGGCGCGTCTCAGGTTCATTGTAAGGCTTTTCTTGTTTGACATATTTTCATAAACATTCCATGGCCTGCTGTCCTTGGCTTGCTGCTATTTACGCAATATATACCTAAACCCGGTTTCCTTTTGTGATTAGGAGAACGTTGAGCAGTAAATTTCAGAGGGATCTAACACCTTGCACGCATCACACGCGCAGTCATCGTGTGAGGACCGCAGGCGGCGGGACTGGGGGCAGGCCCAGGACTCACCGTGGTGCTGTAAGTCTGAGCAGTGCGTCAGCGGATCTCCATTCCTGATGTCCTGTCGTCTTGTGCGTCTAAAATAGTGACATGGCAGAGGCATTAGTGGGGTCTGGTGTTCTTCTCAGGTGCTTTGATAACAAAGAAGGAAAATCAATGTCTGCACCAAAACCCCAGGAACTTGCAGGAAGAGATGGATGTGCACCAGCACGAAGATTCTCACAAGCCGCTCATGCACCTAAAGGGGCAGAGAGGAAAACGGGAACCAAGCGCACAGACGTTCGGAGGACGCCTCAAAAGCCTTTTAACATACAGGACAGAGACTTGATGGGGCCTGGCTATCAGAGCTGAGATACCAACCACAGCATCTTCAAACTCTAGGCTTAACTCCTAAGGAAACCGTCCACAAAATTTGGATTAATGATCCATTTCCTCAGCAAATTTTATTCATTAAACTTTAAATAAATTTTATTTCTGATCACTAGTGAGGGAGTAGGTACAAAGACTAGAAATCATGTTGTAATCTTTTTCTTAGTGTGTGTGCATAATTCCTTAAATAAATTGGAAATTTTTTAAATATTAAGATGGCCATTCTTTTTTTTTTTTTTTTTCTGTATTTAGTACAGGATCTACAGAGTCTCACTATGTGAATTGGACTCGTAGTGATCCTCCTGTTTTCAGCCTCCCAAGCGCTGGGATTACAGGCACACACCACCATGCCCAGTCTCAATCACTGTCTCAGCGCGCCCTGCTGGCAGAGCCAGCGTGCAGGGGATGAACCCCAGCTGCTGCGGCTGCCTAAGCAGGCCCTTTAGTCCTCTGAGTGAGCTGGCTGGCCTTTTGACCACTCTTTCTTTAAATTGCTTTTAAAATTTCTTTTTGCAGTGTTATATGACAATATTAAGCTGTCTCTTTAATTCTCACGCAATTATGACTGCATACCAATTTATCCGTGAATGGAACAGCAAAACAACACGACAGGCCCTCGTGGCAGAGGATATTAAGAGAGGAGAGGTGAATTTGTTTCCAAATTTTACAAGAATCAACAAGACTGCTTTGTCCCTTCTGCAGCTCCAGCTGCGTGCTGGGCCATCGCGTCGACACGCTCTTTGGGTCTGCTTTACTGTCGCACCAGGAAGGACGAGCCGGGCTCTGGCCCTGCCGGAGCAGAGCAGCAGGCCTGGACCGAGGCCTGGAGCAGGGCGTGGCTCCGCGAGCGCGCTGGGCGGACCGGGTGCCGCTCCGCTCACTCTCGTCCCTGGAAAGCGCTCTCGCGCAAGCCATCAAGAGCTGAAAATATGGAATTTGTTACTGAATTCATAAATTGAGAAGTCTAAAGTATTTATAGAGTTCTATTTGCAGCATCTGAGAGGCTATCAAACAGATGTTGTGCGTTTCAAAATTGAGCCAATAAGAGAACTTGTGAAATATGAGCCAAAAAGCATTCGGGAAGGCATATTTTACTGCTATTTAAACTTTTTAGAAATGCCATCCCCAAAATACATACGTTGCAAGGTCTCTAAACACCCTTCTCAAAGAGGAGGAGTGGCAGACACATGAAATTGGATTAAGGGAAATCTGTAAGGCACAACAAAAATGTGTTGACGAAAATCCCTTCAATGTGGAACTGGGTATGAGCTAAACACAAATACAAAATATATAGGTTTTCGCTTATTATAAGGTGGCTTTGATTTTTACCTCCTTTCTTAGTAAGAAAAGCTTAACATTTAAATAGACAATTACTTGTTGAGCAATGGCACACACTTTTCCCTGTAAAGGGAAGAAGATCCAAGTTTAGTTCAAACACAAACTCTCCGTGCTTTGAATGACAAAATGCCCCTTGGAGCTAAATGCGTTTAAGAAACAGATAGTTTCAATTTAAGTATCTGCCTCACTGCTGTGCAGACTGCAGAGTACTATTTATTAAACGAGTCGTGCTTTCTTTAGTTGATAAATACTATTTTTACATTGTTTTCTTTTCCAATCGAAAATGTTAACACAGTCAGTGGGTGTCCAAAGCAACACAAATCACCGAGTTGTGCAAAGATGCCGTCACGTTTGCATGGCATGCGGAAGGTGTAAGGAGTTCTGCATTTAGTGGGGTCCTCGTGCATACCGTACTTCCACTTAGTGTTAACCTGATACTGGGTTCTAATCTACGTCGTAAACTTCACTCGCAGCGTCTAACCTCGACGCTGTCTCAGACCTGCAGTGGACAGATGTAACTGCCCCCTATAGCTGGTTCTTTTCCTGAGGTTTTCCCCATCATTTAAAGTAATTGCAATTGAATAGGACATATCTTGCTCGCTATGAAAAAGTCACTTTCATAGCTCCTTGGAAGACACTGGGGGCAACAGAAAGGAGGCAAGACAAATGACACTGCTCTCCCGAAGCAGCGGGTTGGTGATGCTGACCTCCTTCTTGCTGTGCATGCCCTAATCTTCAGGCCCCTGTCCGTGCAAGATACAATATGATACCATCCTCTATCATTCTTGTTTCTTAAACTCCGGTAAATTCCAATAAAGACAGCTCTCAGTTAGGAGTAGGAGGGGTGTGGATATGGTTACTTTGTTTACTTCGGGCAAATAATGGAAGAGCTGTCCTTTGTCAAAGGACAAGCACGCTGACTTGTCTGACCCTTTGGATCTGCCCTGTCTTTGCGTCGTGACTGCATCTTTTGTGAAGGGGACTCTGTGGACGGGTCAAGTGGAATTTCCTCGTATTTTCAGTCTTGTGGGCAGTGGCCTGCGGTTACATTTCATCTTCATGTAGTGTTGCAGGTTACCTTCTAGGTATAGCTGAGTATTTTATTCAAGAATTTTTCCCCAAATACTTGTGAATATTATCAAGAATATATTCAAAATATGTGTACTACACATATAGGGATAGATGCATATTTTGTTCCATGGTTTTATGTTTCAATCCAACCCTGTAAACAGAATATGACATAGCAGCACTACTACATAAGTTTTCTTGGGTCAAAACAAGATAGCTTTTGGGGTGGTAGTTAATCAGAATTAATATGTCACAGAAAAATGGGATTTTTTCAATCTGGAAAAATAATTTGAGGTTTATGGTTGGATGTTTGAGTGTCCTGTAAAACACCAAAGATGAATGCATTTCTTTCCCTCAGACCTTTCTGTTCATTCAGAAACAAAAAGCGGCTTATCAAAGTGTGGGAAAAGAAGGGCCAGAGAGATAGCCCAGTAGAGTAAGCACCTGCTGAGGCAGGGATGTGTTGGCCCCGCTCCCGGGTGTGCTGAGCCAGCCACTCAGGCCAGGCCGGGTGCGGTGGTGCGCGCCTGCAGTCCCAGAGCTGGGGAGGCTGAGACAGGAGGATCACTATGAGTCTGAGCTGTGCAGTGAGACCCTGTAACAAATACATTTTTTAAATGTGGAAAAAGGACTGAATGTTGCTGGATAGCAAACATGAAGCATTTTTGGAGAAATGTGTATTTTGGCCCGAGAGAATCAGACTTCATTTGGCTTCTTTCTTGACTTTCTCTGTGGTTTTGACCATCTTTCTCCCCATGTAACATGAGGCCATAAGACTAGAATTTGCAAGTATGAAAATTCAGGACATGACTATGCGGCCTTACACACCCATCCATCCTCTCCTGACGCCGTCGCCTTCCATCGCTCAAGGACTCGACTGCCCTACCATACAGTTTTCTGGTTATGTTCATCATTTAGGATCAGGAGAAGAGAAGAAAGGTGAAAGTGCTCCCCACAGCCACACAGACCTCTCACACAATGGTCAGTGGGGCTCTCTGGCGAACCCTGTCCCGAGGTGGGGAGCAGTGACCAGCTCCTCCTGTCCTCAGTCCCCTACCTCTTGGCTGTGGGGAAGTAGCGCGAGCAGGAGGCTCCGTCCCAGGCACAGTAGGGGTCCCTGGCCAGGCAGCACTCTGCGCAGGCTTTGCCGTAGATGTCACAGCGGTGCAGGGGCAGCTGGGCCACCCCAGAGGCCGAGCCGACGTAGAGTTGTTGCTGTGAAAAGAGTGGGACATTGTGACTAAAACGGCCTGGACTTTAAGTCTCTAGTCCCAGGAAAGAGATTCACATACTCATACTTAGCAGTAATACAACTACAGAGGACAAGAGAGCCCATTATCCACAGCTTCTTAAAAAATTACCAAAGCATCCCACAGAAATTGAGCAGGAGCAAATTCCAAGCATTTCGCTGGAACAGGTGTTTTTGTTTCAAGTAAAACAAGCTAAATACAAGACAAACATAGATCGAGCAGCTATTATGTTCGAGTCTTGTTTTGTTATGCTTAGGAAGTATTTTTAATACAGTTTCAATTAGGGACCCTGTCACCAAGGCCATGTGCTGTGGGCAGGAAGTGGCCCGCAGTCTGCCAACCTCTAAGCCTGTTTCTGCCTGGGATGGGCCAGGCCGGCCCTGAGAGCAGAAGGGGAGAGTGTTTAGCCCTGACGGCCTCCAGGAAGGATGCCTGGACTCATTGCGAGTCTGTCTCACGTGGATGGTACTGAGGGAAAGCAGCCTCTCTGGTGTGTTCACAGCGGCAAACGCAGTGCGCAGGCTTGGTCCAGGGTGGGGCACTGAGGCACCTGGATTCTCCATCCTGTCTTGCAGCCATGTGAACTCTGGGATCTGGCATACCACATGATTTTCATAAGAACTGACTTCCTTATCCATAAGATGAGCCTGCTGTGCAAATTTTAAAAGTAGGCATCCAGAGAGAAACTCCACCTCACCACTCTCCAACAATGCACCTAGAGTTGCTGAGTATGGTGTGCCGCTGTTGGGGGGAGCGGTGTTTGGCTGGCTCAGCATCCACCTGGGAGAGTGATAGTAAAGCACACATCTATGCGTGTCAGCATGGTGTCCTCCTGTCCTTCTGCTCCTCCTGTCCTCCTTAAGGGTCCTGGGGAATGCATCTGTCACTGGCCCTTTCCTCTCTGCCACTGTTCCTGTGCTCTGCTTCTCAAGTTGTCATGAGCTAGGCAGTTTTGCTGCCTCTCACCATTTCACCATCATGCCCCTACCTTAGCTGTCCATGAACTGAACCATCTGAAACCTTAAGCTAAAGTCCTCTCCTACCAGGCATGGTGGCACACAGCTGTAATCCCAGCCCTCGGAGGCTGAGACAGAAGGGTTGCTGCAATTTCCAAGCTAGTTTGAACTATCTAGTGAGACCTGGTCTCAAAGAAATTGAAAATTAACTAAATTAAGCCTTTCCTCTTTCAGATTGTGAGTTCAGGTATCACGTCTCATTGACTAACCTACTGAATGAAGCACATGCTAGGGGATATTGTGAAAAGAAAAAACAAAAACTCTGCAGAGACTATGACCTAAGGACTTCTGTACAACTTTCACAATGCTCAGAGCTAAGCCAATGTAACAGGTCAGGCACAAAATTATGTAGATACAAAATGAGATAAAATTTTGTGATTTATCTAACATGTACTGCAATTTTGCCAAACTTTTTTGCCCTAGAGGATTAATTGTAGTGTCTTAAATAAAAAGAATGCCAACAGGGGGCTGGGGAGATAGCTCAGTAGAATAAGCATTTGCCTGGCAAGTGCAAGGTCCTGAGTTCAATCTCTGTACCACAAAAAAAGAGAAAAATTATATAAACACTAAAACATGTAACAATATGCAGGCATAAGATTTCTTTCTTTCTTTTTTTTTTTTTTGTGGAACCAGGGATTGAACTCAGGCCCTTGTGCTCGCGAAGGAAGCACTTATTCCACTGAGCCATCTCCCCAGCCCCATGGCATAAGATTTCAAAGCTGAATCTTAATTCCTCCAGTATTCTGTATATGAAAAATAAGCTTCACAAAAGCCACGCTCTACTCTGAATAATGGTGTTCTCCTTTAACATTATAAATTTCTTAAATATTCAGAAATGATTAATAGTTAATACTTCTTTTCCAAAGACTTTCATTTATGAAGTACTTCTATAAATAGGCAATAAATTGAATGTAGACTGAAGTATCTTTCAGAATCTAAGAAATTACTAAGGCTATAAGGGGTGTTTATATAAAAAATAGTTCAGTGCTTAAGGCTAACCTTATAATTTACTGTAAAAAAGAATAAGAGGGAAGGAGTAATGCCACCAAAACTAAGCCACGTGGAAGCATTTACCAAGACAAGCATTACTATGCCATTAAATAGAAAAAATAAAATTATAGTATATTTTACTAGATGCTCAACTGTACAGTATATTTGTCTTTGTTCCTGTTTTCCTTTTTAGTATTACACCGAAAGATGCTATCAACAAGACAAATTAAGAAGTGATGGTTAAATACTGGAAAGAAAAATGAAATATTAATTTTCCTTCTTTTTAGTTTGTCTCCTATTAGCCTCCTTATTTTTGTATAAATGAGTTTAGATTATGTTGAAGGAAGCAATTTCAGTGAGATGACATGAAATGACTCCACAATGTTGAAACAAGAATGAAATTCTGTAGCTCCAGCAAACATCTGGCAGAGTGGTGGGCAGGTGTGCATGTGTACATGCCATTCTGAGTCTCTCATCCTCACTGGTTTAAAAACTGCGGAATAACTGGGAGAAGCAGCACAGAGTTCTCTGCGTTGGGCCGTTAGCTTCTAGGAACATGAGCCAAATTTGTACTTAGAAATTCATGGCACAAGACATTGAGAAGGAAAAGAATTGTCCAACTAAACCATCTAAATCTGTCACAATTCTCTAGGAGAGAAACGGAAATAATAGGGAAAATACAAAACCAAAAATATGGCAAATGAAATTACTGTAATGAAAATCTAAAAATGCCAAACAATAAAGCAACTCAATGTTTTTATTTTATTGTAATTCTTCAGGATTATGAATAATGTGCAAAATCATCCTGCTACCCAGGTGAAACGTGGAGGGAGAGGTCGGCTTCCCCGCATGTGAGCCCAGCTCCGCCCGGCGCGCTCTGCCTGCGGGACAGCACCGCGGCCCTCGCGCCCCACTCCTCCCACGCCGGGGGCAGCAGGGCTGGGCCCCTGTGACGTCACCTGTCCCTCCCCAACTTGCATCCTCCCTTAAGAAGGTGGCTCGAAGTGAGCATGGAACTGCGTCCTGTCTGAATGAAAGCCAACGTCTTCCAGAAATGGGAAATGGAACTCGTAGGTCAGGGACATTTCACCGTGCAATGGTATTTTCAGTTTATAAATTGCTTCTGTTTGCTTGGTGGCGAAATTTGAAATCTGTAGAGAATCTTTTAGATTGCTATAAGCTCTTTAAAACCAAAAAGAGATATTTTACCAACCAAACTCAATGAGGAAGTAATGTAACCTGGCTTGGCTAGGAATCCTAGCAGAGAATAAATGCTTAATTTAAAAAATCATTACAGGAAAGACTATCCCGGTCTAGCTTACATCCTGGAAATCCCCGGACTTCCTTGGCAACATGCGCCCAATTTTAGATTACAAGAACAGGTGCACACATACTCATGAAGTATAAGATGACAGGATTGGGGCAGCCCTCAGGATGCCGAGCTGTCCTAAGTGTCTTGGAGATTAGTGATCTATTTTGATGTGTCTGTGTGGAAAGGGCCCACACTGAGCTTCCCGGGCGCGGTCCTTAGGGTTTCCTGAGGGATGAGGCGTGAGAGGCCACTGGAGAAGTAGATAGGACACACAGCGTAGTTTTGGAGTCAGATTAGCTAAGCGACCTTGTATTTTACAGTTTGTATGTTAGTAAGGGCTGCTTCCCTCTGGAATTTTCTTTTCTTTTTTTACTTTATTGAGGAACAATAGCAATGAGACAGTTTCAAAGCCGATTAGTAGGACAGTTTCAATAACTAGTACATTGCATATTGTTGTCTTCGTAGTGATTATTCATAGTACAAGCTGCAGACATGATATCCTGCCCAAACACTATTAGTACAAATCTTTCTTCTCACTGGCTTAACAGAAAAGTAGCTGTATATCTAGCCTATTTTGTATATACAGATACAAAATGCTCCTTTATTTATATCTCCTTTTTTGTTTTGGAATTTTCTTTTAGACTGTTTATAATTAATTCCAAACCAGTATCCTAATTCTTGTTAAGTTACACTTGATGTACTGGATTAAAGATTGGGTAAGTCTTAAAAGGAAATAAAACTTTGTTAGGGATTTAAGTGCTATACTGTTGTGCATATCCATCAGTATTTAGAAGTCACATGTTTTTTAAATCTCTTGCCAAAACCTTCATTCAGTATGCATACAAGCCAACCCAATATTCTGTCTTTATTCTTTGAATTCATGGAGTCTTAGAATTTATTATGGAGGAGAGATTATTTTTCTACTTTCTTTTTATGTTTAGTCAAATTCAAAGTCATGTTCTACTTTTACTAGCATACAACACTATTGAAAATGTAACATTAACTTTTAAGTCAAGATTCTCTAGACATATATGCCAATTGCTTAATTTTATTAGCCTATAAAAGTATTGTGCTTATATATTCAAAATAAAATTAAATTATAAATTTATTTTCAAATAGTCACTAATGCTAGTCTTGAAGTTCATATATGTAATTCATAACGGATGAAAACAACCATTGCGTAGAAGCAAATTGTATTACAATGTCTGCAACAGGAATGATGAGAATTTAAATAATGATGCAGGAAATATGTTTTAAGACAGATGATATTTATCAAAAACATAAGGGAAAGGAGAAGTATTTTCAGTGTACCAGCTTATTTTGTGAATGGTATTTCTTTGCTCGTAGCTTCCATTCGTGTGCCATTGTTAACAGAGCTAGAGAATTTGAAACACAAAATTAACAAAGCGATATTGATGGTAACCGGTGAGGGCAGTACCTGCTTAGGGGATAGCTCCATTGCTGAAATCGTCGTTGGTTCCTAGAGAAGAAAATATGCAAAGCACTTGGTCAGTGAGAAGAGTCATTAATTAAAGCATTAAGAGTAATTAATTAAGGCATATGCAATAAAAATTCCAGAAAGGATACAATTTGATTGGGAGATAAAGAACCAGGGCGAAGCTGCCCAGATCGGTGACCATCCAGCATGTGGAGTGGACGTGCAGAGCTCCTGGTCGCTGTCCTGGCAAGGAGCGCCCCGGGCCGCCCGGGCAGCTGGCTGCGCAGGGCTCGGCTTGGGACTGCCCAACCAGGGGTTGGGAAGCACTGCTGCAGTGGGCCTGCCCCGGTGACCCCAGCTTCGCACAGCAGGGCTTTCTCCACTTGGTGCTGTGTGAAAGCCCCGGTCAGCCTGTGCTTAGCCGTCGTCACTAATTGCTCAGGTGGGAGGGACAGAGCAGCACTCAAGCTCTGACTGCGACAGGTGACGCATCACCGCTGCTGTGGGTGGGAAGACGGGAGTATCTGGTCATTCTGTAATCTGGACAAATGTTCGTGTTCTGTCGGCTCCGGGCACCACCAGGATGAAACTGGGCCTGCTTCCAGCTGCCAAGGACGGCGAGATGTGCTTGAGCTGGCTGCGCTGCTACACAATGACTGCTTATTGTGCCAGTGAGTTAGAGGGCTGCCCAACAGGACAACCTCATCCACACGCCGATAAGGAGAAGCAGAGCCCATCACCCAGGGGTGGCCATCGCCAAGGTGTTCAGACCGGAGCACAGGACGCAAGAGCGCAGCCGCAAAGACAGCTCCTGCTCCCGGACTCGTGCAGGCCACTGTGAGATGCACAGCGGAGCATCTTAGTTTACAGTGTGATTGAACGATGCAGTGAACGTTGAAATTAAAAAAAATACGGTAAAAGACACATCCCCCGTAAAGTCCTCCCCCTTGTTCCAAGCCCAACAGCCCATTGCTCTTGTCTCGCTGTCAAGCAGCTGTGGAGCCCTATTTCCGGAGTCTCTGATGGCGCTGTCATGGCTGCTTTGAATTCCTGGGTCCATTAGACACCTTCCCCTTTGGTGGTCTTTTGGTTTGGAGAAGATCCAGGAGTCACATGACGTCAAGTCCGAGGCATAACGTGGATGAAGCCGCACTTCGTTATTTGACGAGTCTGCCCTGCTGGGTGGCGCTCAGCGGTGGTGCTTACGGTGTTTTGATCATATCTAGTAGAGCCAGGCAAGGGAGAGCCTCCAGAGCTGCTCCAGGGGTGCCGAGAGTACGGGGTCCAAGCTGTCGGAGAGCGAGGAAGGCCGCTCCGTTTACTGTGACGATTTACCATCTGCTGTCCGGTGGCCCACCCCTCCTGCCACTCTCCAGGCGCCGTCCCTGGGAGCACGCGTCTAAACTCTCCTTGCACTGAGGCAACATGGTAAGAGGAATGCTTAGGTTTCAGGCAGGGCTGATGGGAGCAGAAAGGCCTCCTGCATGGGCGTGTGACACCAGCGCTGCAGTCAGTGTGGGGAAGAGCTGGACACTGACACCGGTGGACTGAGACTCTGACGCTTGCCTGACCGAGAGGGCTGGCGCCCGGCCGGGTGTGCAGGCCCACTGCCACCCCGATCTCGTGCAGCATCATGATGGGGCTTCCTCAGTGCTTCCCAGTGTGCTTGGTGCAACATCTCTAACCCCCTCTTCTCCTCCACACCATCCTTTTCTCTT